TATTATATTATTGACATTATAGCCTTCAATGCCAATTGCATCTCAACATTAAGAAAACAAAAATCCTCATAGCTGCTACTATTGGCAATATCATGATAAATAGAGAAATGATTAGATTACCAATGATTTACTTTTCCTTATGTCCAAAATCAACAGTCACAGAAGCAAGACATCAATTTACATATTACATTCGGCAAATCTACTGATGTCAGGACTTCCTTAAATTGATAACATGAAAGGATGTCAGTTTTAAGGTTAAGAAATCATGACATTTTTAATTACTTCAATTATATATGAAAGTTACAGTGAATCAGAGTATTGGAAGAATAACTGATGTCTTTGGACTGTGATGTTGAAAACAATGCTGAACATGTCATGCATTGTCAGATGAACAAGCAAATTCATCTTGGAATAAATTCATCTAGAATGTTCCTTAAAAGCAAGGATGATGAGATTTTATCTCCTCTGATTTGTGCATGTTATCAGATTGAGCCAATTTCTAACAAAAAGATGCCTTGCTTGAAAAAGCACGGTCAGAGAGGGAGAGTAAGACCATTCATTAAGTGAATCGACACAGTAATTGTAACAACAGGCTTCACCACAGCACAAATTGTAAGGATGGCACAAAATTGGGCAAGATTTTTATCTGTTGTACATAGAGTTGCTAAGAGTCAGAGTCAAATCAATTACACCTAATGAAACAACAAAATAATCTGTAGTCTTTATTATATGTTCTCACTTTCAGTCATTCTATATTTTACCTATTTTTTAACAAAAGATTGTTTTTAAAGTCATATTGTAAGAGGCAACTCTTACAGCTAACCTTTTGTTGGTGGGAAATGTACTCTAAATTGTTTTTCCAATAGCAGTGATGAATTTGTGCTAATTTCTTCAGACTTTTCTTAAACAACACTGTAACCAATGGTAAGATTTTCTTCTGAGCAGGATAAAATGATGAGCAGGATGTTATTATCATCTATAGCAGAGGTGGACAAAATATTATCTGAATGGGGCTTAGCCTATTAGGTTTAGAATCACAGTGAGCACCTGACTTTTTGGGTAGAATGAAGATGAGGAGGGGAGAGAAAGGACAGGTGAGGTGAGGAATTGGAGGCTGGATGAGTGAAGAGTCATCAGCCTAGGAATGGACCTAGGAGAGTAATCAGGTTCCAAGCTCCCAGTGAGCCTGTCTTGCCTGTTTGGTCTGGTTTCACCCCTGGCTTTAGTCATCAACCAACAATCACCTGCTGTTTTGAGAACCAAGTCTTTGCACACTGCACTAGCAACTGACTGGCCCTTCCACCCTGTGAAAGCACAAATCATCTAACTTCTGGTGATGTGTAGGGTAGGATTCTATGAAGATAATCTTGGCTTATTGCTCTAAGAAACTGGATTAAAGCCATGAGTATTCTATGGTATAGTAATTTTGTTTCTTGTGTGTTCTGTTCCCAGGTTTTGTTTTTCTTTGCCTGCTTGTGTGTTTTTTTGTTTGTTGCTATTGTTATTATGTGCTGTCGAGTAGTCTATAACTCAAGAGCAACTCTGTGTACAGCAGCTGTGAAGCCTGCCCTGTCCTGAGCCAGTCTCAATGATTCTGACACATCAACACTCATTGCCACAATTACTGTATCCATTCATATTATCCAGGGTCTTTCTCTCCTGTGTTGTGCCTCCACCCTTCTAAACATGATATCTTTCTCCAAGGACTGGTAATGGCCATGTGCTCAAAAGTACTTACAGGTGTTTATTTAAACATAGCAATATTCATTGTTTAATGAGTATAAAGCAGTAGGCAAAAATTATCATACACTTTGAGCAGGAACATAAGTTTGCAATAAATATTTGCTGAGTGACTATAGCATTTTACATCTAGAGCTCTTTGTAAGGCATAAGCCACTCTGAGCAGTGTCGTACACATTCCCTATTGTGTTACATAGTAGGTAGTAAATGTTTGAATAATGAGAATTATTCTCACAATGTGAGAAGGGTAAAATTTTAGGTTAGGGACTTGAGTCAGCCATTCTTTGAGAATTGTTTCAAAGTTATGGATTTTTCCTATTACATCAGAAACATTTACTAGCTGAACAGAATTTCTGTAGTTAAATTTTTGTTATTGATTATCTTTGGGTTGAGCATGACTCATAGAAACCCTAAGAACAAAAAACCTGAAGCCTTTCTATAAATATCATAGTTTCTCAAAGTTCATAGAATTTCCATAGTCATGTTGTTTAGGAAGTGGGTGCCACTCCTGCTTCCAAAGAGAAATGTGTAAAGATTAGGAGCGCGCCATATTTGAAGAATGGAGTGTCAATACATCTGTTACATGATGACAATATTTTGACTTGCCACTTGTTTGTTCTTTCCTGTCCTTCAGAAAGTCAGTCCAGATTTGACTTTATAGAGCTGAATTGTTGCCATCCTACTTAGAGCTTTGATTATGTCAGATTTTTAGGTGACCCTGAGTATGTCATCACACAAAAAATGACAACTCAATCTATCTTCTTATATAACTTCAAATATCATAAGAAGCTGAGAGTGACTGACAACAGTGTTTGAGTAAGGATTTACTGGCATCGCCTTCTTTGTCCTAGTGCTCTACTCTTTCTACTCTTATGAATGGCCTGCTGTTTCTTTGGTTCCAACTATTCACCAAAAGGTTAGTGGTTCAAATTCATTCATATATGCTTCAGCAAATATTACAGCCAAAGAAACCCTAAGTCTATTGATAGTCTATGCAGATTAGGTAGCATGGAGTTGAAGAGTTTTAAGTCATTGTCAAAGATTCTTAGGAAAATTAAACATAAAAGTATCTATGGTGATTCGTTAAGAAATAGTTATTATTCAGCCATGTATTCATATCATGCCACACATAAATACATGAATACGTACAGTTGTATTTTGTCTTTAAACTCTTTTTTGTTATCTAGCTATCTAGACATATAAAATAGATTTTTGAATATTCAAATAATTATATACTAGCAAATCCTTAAAAACAGAACTCTACAGCATATAATTTTATATGTACAATAAATATTATGGAAGAAAATTTAATATACTGTATATAAGATTAAAGTAAGTTAGGAAAGGAACTAGAGTGACAAACAAACAATTTCAGCATAGAAATGACAATATTTTATGAGTACCAATGTCACTGTATTTAATATTTTAAAATATATTATGATTTTTATGTAAAATAATAACAGCATATGCAAATCTATTACCAGCATAAGGATATTTAAAAGAGTTTCAGCATATACAGAATGGAAGTACACAATAACTAACACTAACACTACATTTACTTTGGGGAAAAATGGTAAACTTTAGATTAAAATGCATTAATTTAAATATTAGGTCAACTATTTTCCTCTTACCAAAAGAATGAAATTAATATAATTGTCAATCTTTGCTTAACTACATGGCATAAAATTGAAACCTCTTTAAGATGTCTTGTTTAAAACTTTTTATTTTGAATCAAGAACATTTCTGCTTGTGAACACAAAATATCTGTTGAACATTCTTCCTAGAGCAGAGTTAATCTCTTTGTTTCGTAGACTGAAGACAATAGGGTTCATGACTGGAGGCACCATATTATAGAACATAGCAATAAGAAGACTTCTAAGAGATGCCTTATTTGAGACTGGACTTAAGGCAGCCATCAGTATGGAAATCATAAATAGAACAAGTATCACTAATTGTGGGGTACAGGTGAATAAGGCTTTGTTGCGGGCTTCTTCAGAGCGCATCTTAAACACAGTTGAAAATATTTTAACATAAGATGTAAACAAAAAAGCAAAACATATCAAAGATATAACTGAACTAACAGCAATAAGAATATACTCAGAAAACTGCACGTGTGAAGAAGAAATTCTCAAAAGTTGAGGAATATCACAGAAATATTGATAGATAACATTAGATTTTGTGAAGGGAAGACTGAAAATGGTGCCTGTGTGCATAGCAGAATAGACCAGTCCACAGACCCATGATCCCCCTGCTGCCTGTGCACACATATGGGGTGTAACAACAATTCCATAGTGTAAGGGCTGACAGATAGCAACATAGCGGTCATAGGACATGACTATAAGAAGTGCATACTCTAAAGCTGCAAAGGAACTATACAGGAAAATCTGAGCCACACATTCTGGGAGAGAAATAGATTTCCTGCCTGTTAAAGAATTCACAATAGACTTTGGAACTGTAACAGAGATATAACAAAAATCTACAATAGATAAATTTGCTATAAAGAAGTACATTGGAAAGTGAAGATGTGGGTCTATCACGATGACCATTACAGTGAGAAGATTTCCAGCCAGGGCTCCCAGATAAATCACTAAGAACAGAAGTCCTTGTAAAATTTGTATCTCCCTAGAGCTCGCTATATCCATGAGAATGAATTCTGTGATGATGGTGAGGTTATCCATGCTTTATAATATGCTGCAATCTCCCTGGATTCAAAAAATAATGTGGTAAAGTTACACTAACTTAGGACTTGAACAATCCACAACACCTACAATTAAAATTAGCGATGGTGCCATCTAATTTACAAGTCATACAAGACCAAGTTGATGTGTACATCATTTTATATCTTGTGTTTAGTTTGGATTTTTTTTTTTATTTTTACTGTGAACTCTTATGATATATAACTTCAGTATCAATATGATAAGAAAATTAAAGTCATAAAAATATTAAAACAGGGCTGACATGGGCGATGAGAGGAAACTAAGAAAAGAAAGGATAAATAATGTACACTGCAGTGAAACAGATAAGAGAAAGAACTGTTTAAAAGAAATATATGATTAGGTATTATTTGAATGACAACAATCCCGAATAAAAGATGCATAGCAAAATGGACTGGGGACAGGGATGGGTGAGAAATTGTTCAATAATGAAAGAATTTGTTTTTCAAAGAGAAAAGCATACTGGAGGGAGTAGTGTTGAAAATGTGTAACAACGAATGAATGGAAATCCAAGTTCTCTATGAACTTATGCTAAAATCTCAATTAAAATTTAAAAATATTAAAGTAAAATGATCAAAAATACAATCACTTTTATACTGTTTCAGGAATTTTTTATATGTGCCTAGGCACAAGCTTTAATTATTTATTACCTTTAATATTTCATGTCCTATCATAGTGCTCTGTAAGAGATCTTCAGTGACAATCACTAGTTTTGATGACTCTATACTGTGCTGATCCTGCTCATGTACAGGGAATTAAGATGGCTTTAGATGGCCTCCGTGGGCAATCTGTGGAAGAATGTGTTCCTTGGACAAAGTTAATTGGTGCCTCTGAGCTTCTCCTTAGAGGTTTTTATGTATACAAAAACATATATGTTATGTTCATAGCTCTTTCAATATTTCTCTAACATATATGAATAGTATTTGCTTTCTTATTTTCAACATCCTATATAAAATATTTTATTTCATTCGGAATGTATTTGTTGTTATTTTTCTGTGGTTAGTGTTAACCTTGGATGCCATGTCTCGCTCTCTCCTCTGTTAAACATAGCATTCACCATGGGTCTTAATAGGGATCTTTTGAAGCTAGGAGTAAGGAGTTAGACTGTCACCTCAAAGGTACACAGTTCAGATTCCACAGAAGAAAGATGGTCAATCTCCTTTCATGTGCTTTACTGCCTCTGAAAAAGTCAGTCTGCTGACTGAAAAAATTACTCAGTTCTGACACAACTGCACATAACAACAACTCAGATTTTAATCACCCTTAACCCTAGAACAAAATTCTTTCCTATTCCTCAAGTCTGACAAAATATAGACAATTTAATAAGGTGAACAATAACATTAAGGGATCACTGACTCCTAAGAATAACATACAGCATAAGAATGAAAAGATGGTATATTTGTCAAGGACAAAGCTCAGAAAGCATAAATGCTAATGGAAAAGAGAATCACAGGGAGGAACAGAAATAATACATGTTGAGTGTTGTAATTAATGTCGTAAAACAAAATAGATTTGCATGATTACCTCCCATTCAATTCACAAGAAAAAAACAAACAAAAACCCCAGAACCAAACATCTTACATGATATTCCTTCTCAAAACAGCCTTTCTTAAGGCAGCTATACATTCTAATATTTAATGAAGAATAACATTTTATATTTCTCTATCCTGTATATGATTTCATAGCTTTGACTGAAAAGTTCTCATCCAAAAGTAAACATAATTAACGTCATTTACTTGTGAATATCTTTAAGCATTTTAAAACATAAAGAAAATCTTATACTAGTTTTAGTTATCCTTTTGACGATAAAATCTACTAAAGATCTAATTTCTGTGTGGAAAGTTGTAGGGGTCTAGTAGGCAAGGAGTCAGGCTGTCAACAATAAGGCAAAAAGAATCCATGAGAGTCTTTTGTCAGAGAAGGATGGAAGATCTCCTTCCTTGTGAAAACCTGTTGGAGAGTTAGCTATGAGTCGATTTGGACTAGATGGCACATTACAACAACTATTATTTTTGCTCATTTTTTGTTAGGTCGTTAGTTTCTGTTGGATAAAAAGCTAGTCAGTCTCCTCCTATTAAGAATTACAGTCTGGTAGAGGATCACCATCAGTTAGAAATTGACTCTGTGATTTTTGTTACATGGATAACAATGTAACAGCAGTTGAGTAAGAATTGACTTTGATTTTTGTTTTTTACTTTGAATTTTTAGTAGGTTTTCAAAGGCTGCAAATCTCATAAGAGGAGATTATCCATCTTCCTCCTGCAGAGCAGCTGGTGGATTCAAACTGTATGCCTTTGAAGGGACAGCACAACTCTGACCACCAAACTGCCTTATGGTAATAGACATGAATTCCATACTATTGAACTTTAATTTGTAAATTTTCAAATGAGGGACAATTACCTTAAAAATACTATTTTGAATCTTGCTAGTAATTTTTAAAATTATAATAATTTTCAATGCAAAATATTTATAATTTTGCAGCAACTTTAGATGATTTTTTTAAAAATAACAATATTCATGGTAATTTGCTAACACAATTTATAATCAAACTCTTCAGTAAGTCACTTTAGCAAACATTGAGGGTTTATATGATTTATTCACTGTTTATATTTTTCTGAGAAAGATAAAATCTTTTAAGATAATTTATTAAATACTAAACACCAATAAACAATCACTTAATTGAGTTAGTAGATTTTGGTGTAAACTACTGATACAAAAAATTATCACTTTTAAATTTTGACTTTTCAAACCCTACATTTGGTATCAGTCTTCAAACATCTTGTTTTCTAACCTCCATTACTTCTAATTACATCTTTCTCTTTATCTACACACATCCTATTTTATTTTTTCTGTGTACGTTATTGATACTCTATTTTGAAATTACGTATTATTCATTACATAAATTATAATGGATATTACTATAAACAGACATGACGGAAGGTTTGAAATTTCTCTTGCTGTTTGTTGTATTACGGTATTTTAAAAAAATTACATCACAATTTTACAATTCAGAAAATAAGTAGATTTTCTAGTTCTCTGACAGTGGCTAAAAATTAAAATAAAACAATGAAACCATCAGCAAAGAGCAGTATGCTTCATACTATTCAGAAAATAAGTGGAAGAGATTGTTCAAAGTAAATATATTAACTAAATCTCTCTGCATTTCTTTTTATATTTTAAGAACTATTTTTGTGTCAGTATATTTTCAATCTTTTAAATCCAGCTAATATTTTATCTGCTGACGTCCAGATACAATTTTAAACAATAATTCTCTAAAATAAATATTATTATAAAATTATTCATTAGTATATTTAACTGTTCCATTAAAATACACAAAATACCTGTCATATGAAGTAACACGTTTATCTTCCCCAACATAAATATTTTACAATTTTTTTTTTTACAACTTAAAGAGACTTGAAAAACTTTGAACTTTCTTCTTTCCTCACAAAGTAAAATGAGAATGACATCTTAGGAAAATTAACTCTCTTTATATCTTAGTTATAGCAAGAAGTTTGTTACCTAGATTGGTTTTTGTGTTCTTTTTAAATATTATTTTTAAGGAAGGACATCTATAGGTCATACCTTTGGTGAGGCCCAGGGAATTGATGAACTGTGTCTCCAAAGAGACCAGCATGCTTTAACTCATGATGGGTATGGCTTATTTGGTATACCTATGAGATTAGTTAAATATGCAATAAATTTCTAAGCAATGAACATAAGTCAATTTTATGTCTGATTATAAGGGTAATTTAAATGAAAAAGAATACATTTTAATAAAATTTTCTCAATATTTGGAAATATAATTGCGGCAGAAGAAATAAGCATTGAGATCTTAATTTAAAATTTTAAAGCCAAGAGTTAACCAGCAACTAAACAAAATGAAATGAGTAACATTTTGTGCTGTATTTATTAAAAAAACAGAACTATGCAAATGTTATGTATGGCAAGAATATGATTCTTAATTTCTAAAAGTGCTTGGAATACGTCCTCGCATGAAAGTTAGAATCAATGATGTGAGATTCCCATACTGTTAGGTACCAGCACTCAGAAGCAGTATTGAGGAAAGAAACCCGTTTGGTAACATTCTGTATATTCTTATTATTGGTTCCAGTCTGCAAAAGAAACAGAACAAATGGACACTGCATAATTTAAATTTAGAAAATATATGGGTAGAGGGAAAGGTAAATAAAGGACAGGGGAAAGATCTGGTGTGAAAACAATGTATACAAAGTTTATAAGTAAACCCATATAAAATTGAAAAAAAAAAGATTGTCTTTTTTCCCCCCTATACCTATTCAGTCTGTTATAGTTACAGCTTGTTCAACTCCACAATCAACAGTCTTGACACTAGCAGCCAGGAAATCAAAAGATGAATTGTAGAAGAAAAATCTACTGTCAGAGATCTTTCAGAAGCAACGATGTCAGTCTAGAGACTACGGTGTGTCTGATCCAGGCATGGTCTTTGCAATTACATACTATGCATCAGACAGCTGGACAATGACTAAAGAAGACAGAAGAAGAATCGATGTCTTTTAGTTGTGTTGCTGGAGAAGAGTCTTAAACATACTATGGACTGCCAAAAAAACTGTCTTTGAGAGAGTGAAACCAAATTTCTCCTTAGATGCTAGGATTTTGAAGCTCTATCTCATACTTTGAGCATGTAGCCAGAAGGGACAAATGTTTGGAGAAGGATACGATGCTTAGAAGGTTGGAAGGACAGCACAGGAAGGAAGGCCTTGGATAAAATGGATTGATATAGTAATGAGGGCAATTGCTGCTGGTGTGTCAGAGTAAGTGATACAGGCTCAGGACAAGGGAGACTTCAGAGCTGATATACATAGGGTTGCTATGAGTGGCAGGTGACTGGAGTGCGCATAACAATGACAACAACAGCAATTCAATCTGTTTATTAAGCAAATAATTAGAGAATTTGGACTAAATGAAAAAGATTATGATATCAG